AATAAATAATTTTTTTAAATTTTAATTAAAATAATTCTTCAAAGCAAAAAAAAATAATAAAATGCATGGTTTTTAAAAAGTAAGATATGTTCTATTATGCTGGCTTCATTCCACGGAGATAATTTATGAATTTATATACATTAATTAGTTCTTATTGCTATAAATAACTATTCAAAGAGTTTCTACCAATATAAATAAGGACTCCGGTTTATATTTTGGTTTCAATAGCTTATGGCAAACGAAGCATAACCCGGAAAATGCTACTTTGTTTTCAGTTTTTAAAAAACTCTGTGAGAAGAACTAAGTCTGCCGACAAACTTCTTGCCTGTTTCTTTAAGATGTCTCTGCTTAATCTGAAGTTTAGCTAAAAGCCCTGCATCTGTAATCCTCTGGGCACCTAACACAGGCATGCTGGTCATCCTGGTCCTATCTGTCTTGAGTGCTCCATTCCAGGCAGGAACTAACATCTCATAAACTTTCCAAGTGACTCGGCACCACAAGATTTGAAGCCATAACTAGGAACTCTGGGGAGACACAAGGGCTGTTGGAAAGAATGAGGGTGCCCTGTAGATAGGACTCAGGCTTCTCCCTTTCTTTCTTCTTGCTTTAAGAGTCATCCCTTATTTACCACAGCAGCCCGTGGGTCAGTCTTGCCAATAATCTCATCAAAATAACCCTCAAAAGTAGCTTTCTTTTCAGTTAGTTCTGTTGGCCCCCAATTCACTTGCTATGTTCTCTCCTTCAGTGCCGCATCCACCTCTTAACAGATGGCCTTGCTTCTCACGTAGTCTCTGCTGCCGTTTCTCTTCAGAACCCCAAGAGTATTTGTTCTTAAGACTCGTCTTTTCTTTTTTTTAATTTTATGCATATGAGTGTATTGCCTGCATGTACGTGAATGCACCCATGTCGTGCAATGCTGTGGAGGTCAGAAGAGGGCTTCGGATTCCCCTGGAACTGGAGTTAAGGACGGTTTGTAGCCGCCATGTGGGTGCTGGGAATCAAATCCGGGTCCTCTGCAAGAGCAGTCAGTGCTCTTAACTGCTGAGCCATCTCTCCAGCACCAAGACTCAAGTCTTAACTGGACAGTGTCCACACGAGGTTTTTAATTGCTTAGGAAATATGAATTTTAAATTGTTTTTTGTTATTTGAATATTTCTGTACACTGTAATTTTTTGTGAATGCCAATAACTTAGTTCATTTTATTCCTAAAAAAAAAAAAAAAAAACCCTCTCTTCTTTCTTTGAGTAGAGCACTTTCTCAGTATTTTGTCTTAAAACTGCAGCACTTTTTACAAGACCACTAAAGAAATGTTAGGACATGAGCTGAAAATTGTATTTCACGTGGCTGCCAAAATACAGATACTGTCCTTCAACATGTGTCCTCAAAAAAGGGCTTATAAGACATTCAAACGAGAAAATTTTATGTTCTGTAAAAATAACCTTTAGGTTCTAAAACTCTGTTCTTTTACTAATTTGTTGCCATGGCAACAATATATAAATTGGCAACCATGTTTACAAAAAGTGTCATTAGCTGCAAATTTTCTTTCTTAAGCTGCAAAAGGGTCACTTGCCGTTTCTTCTTCCCCTGCTTGAGAGCTGGGGAGCCCAAATTGGTGGAAATTAGGAGTGAGCATTTAGAAAACATGCATGTTAGTAAGAAAATAATTATAATTAAATTCAGAGAGGTTAACCAATTTTCCACAAGCTAAATCAAGCAATGTATACTCCTACAAATAACAGAGTATCTTTTTCCACATTCTTGGTAACTTTAAATATCATTGATATTTTCAGTCTGAAAGATGAAAACAGATGATCCACCATGGGATTTTTAGTTGCTATCGGGGGTGGGACAATGCTCTTTCCTCTATGTGTGCCATTGGTATCTTTATATATTAATATATTGATTGGCTTTTTGAAATTTTGTTGGCTGCAAAATGTAATACTTGTACATATTTTATATCCTATATAGTACAAGTGCAATTGTAAATAATAAACACAATTATTTAAAATGAAAAACAACTAATTTTGTTTTTAAATTAGCAGGGGTGACATTGCCCAGCAGCTGAGAACTGAACTGTGACTCCCAGAGGACATCTGCGCTGTTCTGAGCTGGGGAGCTACGGTGTGGCTTCTGTATCGCTGTGCGACACTCTCCAGATGCCATGATTCTTTGCCACACAGATGTTCTCTCAGCACCAGGCCAGCAGTACAGAGGGACAGGAAGTACTTTTCCTTCTTCCTGGGAACCTGTGACAGCTAATCTTGACTGTCGATATGACAGGCTTGGAGCAGGGAAACCTTAGAATTGTCTTCATCAGATTGGCCTGTGGGCACATCTGTGGGGCGTTTTCTTGATTGTTAATTGATGTAGGAGGTCCCAGCCTGCTATGGGCAGTAGCATCCTTAGGCAGATGGGCCTTGGCTATTTAGGAAGGGTAGATGAGAATGAGCCAGAGCACAAGCTGGTCATCAACACGGCTCTATGTCTTCTGCTCCAAGCTCTTGCCTTGAGTTACTGCCCTGATGTCCCTCAGTGATGGATTGTGACTTGCAAGTGTACAAGTGTACACTGAAATAAACCCTTTCCTCCCTAAGTTGGTTTTGGTCAGTGTGGTACTACAGAAATAGAAAAAGTAAACTACAACAGAAACTCTTTATCCTTTTGCAAAGGCCTCAGTGTGAATGCCATCTTTCCAGGGGGTCATCTAACCTCCTTTCTGTGTAAACTGAGACCCCTTCTCTCCATTTTCCTCCAGCCTAGCCTTTTTGTTTTACTCCATAAGGTTGATGACATTGGAATTTTTTTTCTCTTGGTCTTTTTGAGACAGGGTCTCCCTGTAGCCCCAGTTGGCCTGGAACTCCCTATGTAGACCAGGCTGGCCTCAAACTCACAGATCTGCCTGCCCTTCCTCCTGAGTGCTGGAATTAAAGGCAAGTGCCCCCTTTTTTTTTTTTTTTCTTAATTTTATGTGTATGAGTGTATTGTCTGCATGTACGTGAGTGCACCATGTTATGCAATGCCCACAGAGGTCAGAAGAAGCTGTCGAATCCCCTGAAACTAGAGTTACGGACAGTTGTCAGCTGCCATGTGGGTGCTGGGATTCAAACCCAGGTCTTCTGAAAGAACAGTCAGTGTTCTTAACTGCTGACCCATCTCTCCAGCCCCAACATTGGAAATTTTTTAACATATATCTATTTGGGGATAAGGTAATGTACATGCACACCATGGCCTGCATGTGGAAGTCAGAGGGCATTTGAGAGCCAGATCTCTCCTTCCACAGCGTGGGTTCTGGAAATTGAACTCAGGTTGTCAAGTTTGGCTGGCCCTGGAATTTTTTACTTGCTGTTTGCCTCTAGGCACATCCAACCTTTTGACATCATGACAAGAAGTTGTCATTCATCTACAAAGTTCACACACAAGAACCACACAATTGAGTTATTAAAAAAAAAAATCAGGACTGGAGAGATGGCTCAACAGTTAAGAGCCCTGACTGCTCTTTCAGAGGCCCTGGGTTTGATTCCCAGCACCCACGTGGCAGCTACGAACCATCCTTAACCCCAGTTCCAGGGGAATCCGAAGCCTTCTTTTGACCTCCACGGCATGGCATGACACGGGTGCACTCACGTACATGCAGACAATACACTCATACATATAAAATAAAAATAATAAATAAAATATATATATTTTTAAAAATCACCACGAAGCTGGAGTAATAGCTCAGTAGTTAAGGATCAGAGTTCAGTTTCCAGCACCAACATCGGGCAGCTCACAACCACCTGTAACGCCAGCTTCAGAGATCCAATGCCCTCTTCTTCTTTCAACCTCCCACCACACGCGCCTCCAAGATCACCCACGCTCTCTCTTTCTCCTCTCCGTCTGCACGTGTATATATATTATATATTCACACACACACACACACACACACACACACACACACACACACACACACACATACACACACACATACACATGAATAAAATAATTTTTAAATTAAAAATATTTAAATCAAGGGCTAGAGAAATGGTTCAGCAGCTAAGAACATTGACTGTTCTTGCAGAAGACCCAGGTTCGAATCCCAGCACCCACATGGCAGCTAAAAACTGCCCGTAACTCCAGTTCCAGGGGATCCAACAGTCTCTTCTGTCCTCCTCAGGCAATGCATGACACGGGTACACTTACCTACGTGCAGGCAATACACACAACACATAAGATAAAAATAATAAATTTAAAAAATATATTTAAATCACACAAAACATCTCATAACATTTTAAGTAAGCTCATGCTTTTGTGTTGGACAGTATTCATACATTCCTGATGGTGCATTTGGGCTACAGGACACAGGTTGGACACAACTGCAACTAAAACTCCAAGGAGACCAGGGATAGTGTCCATCGTGGTCACCATTGTGTCCCCAGCATCTACAACAGGACGTGGCATGCTTTGTGAACTCAGTGATTAGAAGAATGAATGGAAGGATCCAGAGTTTTCAAGATGTAAAAGTCCCTGAAATAGAAAATATGGAAACTTCCATTTTGAGTGGTAAGGTTATACATTCTAGAATTAAACTGTATTCCAGAGTTATAGTTAGTGACTGGAGGACCTAAGATGTCCATGTTCATCACCCTTCCAATCCAGTGGAGATGGGTCATTGTTATTGGAAGTTACTATGGAGCTGAACGTTTACTCTGCCTCTTTTGAGAAGTATTAGTACTGTTTGTCTCTAAGTGCAAAAATATCACCACAGGAAATAAGGATTTAGCTCTTTGTGGAAGAATGGCAACTGACTATACAGTGAATGCTATTCATATTTATTCTGGTTATTTGAAGACACTATTCAATAAATCCCACGTAACCTCATTTTCAAAGTATAGGCTCTGTGCCTTGAATATTCTGACAATCTATTTTGGAGTTAGGAAGGGAACCAAAATATTTCTCCTGAAAATATAAAGAATTGTTGAGCTGAAGACAACCAAAGCAAAGAATTCTCTGTGCACCAAAAATAGGACAAGATTCACAAAGACTAGAGATCTCTCCTCCCTGTTACCATGTAAAGATTGAGTGTAATTCTTCACAAGGCTTACTTACTAGCTAAGAGGTACCAGATGAATATTTAAGCAAACTTTACTCCCATAAATTGAACTTCCTACAGTTCTCTGGCCTCTAAAGCCTAGAACTGTTTGTTTGTTTGTTTGTTTGTTTTACCCTGTTGCTTCTCTAGAACGCATTGTGCTTTGTTAAACTACTACTTAATCCAGGACCCTAAGCAGCTGTCTTAAGTTGTTTTACTCCTATGTGACATGTACTGCACATGCTTATAAACCACTGGCCCCATCCTCAATCAATGATATTGCTACATAGCCCAGTACAGCCTTGAACTCAAGTTCTTTCTGCCTCAGCCTCCTAAAGAACAGGATTGCAGGTATGTGCCACCACACCTGACTTGTTTCTCTCTTACTAACCTATCTTTCATTACAAGAATCTGTCTCAGTTGCAAACATGAATGTTGAGGGATATTAGATCTTTCTCCCCTTCAGAATCACCTATGGAAGGTCTAGGGTGGTGCAACCAAGTTAGATCTGGTTGCTGTCCAACGATGGCAGGCCATGCACTGAAGTAGACATAGAAGAAGAGGTGTCCAACTAGGAGGGATGGAGTGGGCAGATCATGAAAATTAGCTCTCAGATCCTTTCCATTTGCTTCTGATTCTTCAATTCCAGCGAAGTCAAGCCAACCCAACTACACAGTTATTGAAAGCTTTCTGGGTGCCAAGAAATGAGCCGAGAATACGCCAATGACCAACCTAGACATCAACTCTACACTAATAAAATCAAAAGCCAGTAAAGTGAAGAGGAAACAAGACTGAGCAAGATCCGATGGTGATGTCTGCACTTAGCTTTCCTATTGGATTGTCAGTTTGACACTAGAATTAACCATCAGTAATGAAGATTCAAACAAATATCAATTTCTGAAAATGTTATGAAACTACTTTTAGCACCTGGTTCCATGAACTGGTCATCAAATGCATTTGAATGGCCTCCACATTTGCAGTCCACATTGGATTCATTCCAATGCTTCTTTATCTGCTCATTCTTTTTTAAAAGAATATTTTTTTAATTTTATGTGTATGAGTGTATTGCTTGCATGTATGTAAGTGTACCCGGGTTATGCAGTGCCCGCAGAGGTCAGAAGAAGGCGTAGGATCCCCTGGAACTGGAGTTAGAATGGTTGTTAGCCACCATGTGGGTGCTGGGAATCAAACCCAGATCCTCTGCAAGAGCAGCCAGTGCTCTTAACCACTGAGCCAACTCTCCAACCTTCTCATTCTTATCTATATATTTATTACATTTCCTATGTGATGTTGAGCTACTTTTCTTAATAGTAAGAGCCATATGCACTTCTTTGATTAGATTAATAAAATAATAGAAATTCTGGCTTGTCTGGAACTTCTTGCAACAGCACCCTGTAGCTTTTTCCAATACACTTATGTGTTTAGAGTTACACACATTTGACAGTGCCGTCATAATGCCTGCTGGTCACCCATGGTAGCCTGAGTAGCACATCTTTTGTTTTCTCATTAGCTTCTCTGTGATAATCGTCATTTCCCACATTAGGCATCACAGTATACTCATTATTATAGAAATCACATACTTTCAAATCACTCTCAAGAAGCAGGCAATCTTGTTCAACCCTAACTTAAAGTTAACAACAATTGTATCTATGTCAGGCATATCCCCTGCTTTCTACAACTACTGTCTGACTAAGAACAAAGAACATAGAGTTTATGATAATATAGGACAAATCATTAATTTCCCCAAGTCCTTCATCTTCTCTATAAAATTAGAGAATTGAACTAAGTTTAAGATTGAACTTCAGACTACTGGGCAAATGGTAACACTCAGGTGAACCTTGGGTTGAACCTCTGTGGTGGTTTGAATGAAAATGTCCCCCATAGGTTCCAAGTATTTGGACATTTTGTCCCCAGATGATGGCACTGTTTTGGGAGGTTTTAGAAGGTGTGGCTATCCTGGAGGAAACACATCACTGGGGATGGGCTTAGAGAGTTCTTAAGCCTTGCCGGATCTCCGTTCTCTCTCTTGCTTCCTGTGCCTGTGTGATGATGGGAGAACTTAGCTTCTGCTGCTCCTGCTTCAGTCACCTTCAGCCATCATGCCTCCCTGCCATGACGGACTGTAATTTCCCTGAAACCATGAGCTCAAATAAATTCTTCCTTCTATAAGTTGTTTTAGGTCAGTGTTTCTATCACAGCAACAGAAAAGTGACTAATACATCTCAAAGCATTTAAAAAATTCTCACCCAGTGCCACTTGTGGTTATATGTGCCTATGACCCCAACATTTTGGAGACTGAGGTGGAAGGATTGCAAGTTCAAGGTTAGACTGAGTTATGTTGCAAGTTCCAGGTCAGTCTAGATTATGAGACCTTATCTTAATTTCCTTTTAATTTAAAAAAATCACCCACTGATACTTGTTTTCATTAGGAGAGTTTCTATAAAACTCTAGATTTCTCTTGAAAAATCAAAATCTGAGTACTCTGGGTAAATCTGTTCTTTTTTCTCTCTTCCTTCCTCCCTCTA